TGCGGTGGAAATAGGATATCAAACTATTAATTAGTTTGAATCACAATTCTTAATTCACAACCGCTTTTTGATTTATCCGAAGGAAAAGGTCAAAAGAGGGAAAACCTATTTTTGCATCATAAACACAATACGGGGAGAGACCTAGGTAAGGGGTTGGTTAAATTTAGGGAAGGTACTAGCACCCGAAACATTTGTAGTACTCTACATGAACCTTTCGTTTATTGTATGCTTTTTTTATTTTTATTATCTATTTATATATTGAGCTAAGGGATAGAATGACCTAAAGAGACCTAAGGGTTAGTCCTAAGTTTACTCGGCAAGACATCGCATCTTGTGTCTACGTATCCTGGATAGGGAATGGAATCAGAGTAATCGTAGTTCCCCTTGAAAGGGAGGTTAGAAACTTCTTGACTGTGGTCAAGGTTTCAAGGGGAGTAAACGTATCTTAAGGACACGCTTACGGGGAGTTTTTTGAAACTCCTGTTTCTACGTTGAATTTGTTGTTGAATATTAAGGTTAAATTAGGGATTCCACGACGGGAAACCCTAAAACAGAGTACGGTGACTCTTTGACCTAACGCTAGGGTTAAGGGTAAAATTGTCCGCGGCGGAACGCCTAAAAATGTTAGGGTTTGAAAACGTCAAAGGTTAGGGTTATTGACTCGGCGGTCAAATTGCTAGACCTAATCCTTCGGAAGGGGAAATTAACGGCTAATGATGCAAGATATGACAAATTATCGTACGACAGAATTAAAATGCAGAAAGTAAAGAAAGCGGTAAAGAAAGCGTCGCGACGATCACTCGCATAAATTACAAGTCCCAAAAAAATGCAAAAAAATAAAATAACTGCGATCATGGCCTCGCATAAATTACATCCATGAAAAACAATACGCAAGAATAATAAATTGCGACGATGCCTCGCATAATTACAACCGAAAAAAATGAAAATACAATAAAATGCGAAATTAGTAACCAAGGACAAAAAAGGAGAAACAATGAAAGTTAGATAAAAATTAAATGGGAAAGGTTAGGAATTTTAGAAATTTTTTTAGGTGAGAAATTTAGTTTTAAGAAAGAAAAATTTAGGATTAAAGGAAAATTAATTTTAATTTTTATGTTTTAAAAGGTTAGCAATTTATTAAAAACTTTAATTTATTTTAAAAAAGATTTTTAATTTTGGGAGAAAAAGTTCATTTGGTTAATATTTTTAAAGAAATATTCTAATCAACTTTTTAAAAAAAAGGTTCCTAATTACCTTTAAGAAAAGGTTTTTAAAAAAATGGTTTTAATTTTAACAAAGGGTTTTGATTTTTGAAACACAAAGGGTTTTGATTTTTGAAACACAAAGGCTTTGGCTTTCATCCTCAAAAAAGAAAGTTTTAGTTTAAAAAAGGTTTTAATTTTAAAAAAGGTTTTAATAAAAAAAGATTTTAATAAAAAAAAGTTTTAATTTTTGAAACACAACGGCTTTCGCTTTCATCCTCAAAAAAAGGAAGTTTTTAGTTTAAGAAAGGTTTTAATTTAATCTAATTAAACTAAATTGCATCATTAGAGAAAAAAAAAAGGAAAAGGCTTGACTAATTCTTTTCCTTCCACACGCGGCGCCACTGGCCTCCTTTGTTGCCTTCTTTGAAGCTTTTGCTTCTTCTCCTCCTGCTTCGCTTTCGTTGTTCATACCTGAAACCAAATAAAATAAAACCAAGCCCATTAATATCATAATCTTACGTTTTGGATTTTTGATGATGATGTTTCGACGGCGAGGTGATGAAGCTTCTTCTGAGACTTTTTGCTTGGTTGTTGTCTGCCGGTGGTAATGAGACTCCAAAGGGTCCACGACCGCCGTTGGATGATCCTTGTTGGTGGATCTTCTGAGTTTTTCTCAAAACTCTCTTATTCTTCTTCTGATGACCTGTTATTAATTTTCTGATGTTAATGAAGTTTTCTCCCCTCATGTTTATATAGGTAACAAATTAGGGTTAACTCTAACCTAATGCCCATTTTAAAGCCCAACTTAAATTAATATTAGTTATAATTACAAAATTTTAAATAATTAAAATAAAATTAAAATAAAATTGAAATTAATAACTCTATTTATTCATTATTATTTTTGTAAAGAATTCTTATTATTTCTAATAAAAATCCTTTATTTTTCTTAAAACATTATTATTTTTTTTTATATTTTTTATATGCAAATAATAATAAAAATTACAACTTAGCATAAAAATGTATATAATGAAAGTAATATTAAAGAAAAATGAAATTAATTTAAAATGAAAAATAGAAATGAAATGAAATTATTTAAAAATAAAATAAGACTAAAATTAAAAATGAAATAAAAATGAAATTGATTTTTCTTTAAACAATGAAACAATGATTGATTTAAAAATGAGATTAATTTAAAAAATAATATATGATTGATTTTAAAAATGCAATGAAATTAATTTAAAAAATGAAATATGATGAATGAAAAAAATGACACATGATTGATGAAATTAATTTAAAATAGGAAATGAAAATTGAAATGAAAAACCCTTTTTTTCTATTAATTCCTAGTTATTCCAATTTACCCTTCATGAACCAAAGAGCGCGCCACATGATATTTTCCTGCAAAAATCAACCAACTACACGAACTTGTTAGTGACTGGTTAAATGCAAAAATGCAACAGAATGCGAGATGATTCGACTAATCTTAGGGCAAAATTTGGGGTATTACAGTATCCATAGTGAGGATAATTAGAGAATTGCTAACAAATCTTAGTGTTCTCTCTCTCTCTCTTATTAAGAAATGTGGTTAGACCTAACTCAACCCTACAAAATTAGTTGGTATGAGGATTGCCCCCACCTATAAACATGTGTTTAAGTCATATATCATCCGATATGGGACTCTTAACACACTCTCTCATGCTCAAGACTAGATAACTAGAGCGTGAACATAAATTGTGGGCGGTCTGATAGCAAGAACCATAGTAGGTGGCCCATCAGATCTTAAACGAGGCTCTTGATACCATATTAAGAAATGTGGTTAAGCCTAACTCAACTCTACAAAACCGATTGGTAGGGTGAGGATTTTCTCCACTAATAAACACATGATCAATTCATATGTTATCTGATATGAGACTCTTAACATCTCTCTCTCTCTCTCGCTCTCTCTCCATCTCTCTCTCTCTCTCTCTCTCTCTCTCTCTCTCTCTCTCTACATTTTGATAACACTTAGTGCGTATTTTGAAGTGCTGAAAATTCTGGTTGAGTTGAAGAGTGTCAAACTGTTCTGTAAAACTATTGTAATCTAAACCATTACAATTGATTTGTTATATCTTCAACTCAAAGAGAATCAAGTTTGGTGCATTTCACACCAAGTGTTTGATGTTTTGACCGCACACTAAGTTTTTGATAAAATTTCTTTGTCAAGTTTACTTTCACATTTCATTGAAAATCTTTTATCTTAGCGTGATTTATATTTAAACATATTATATTAAACTTATTGATTTGTTTTTCTCATCTTTATCATTCGTTTTACTACGATTTGTATGCATATCTGATTCTACCAATAATGGTCGGATAAATGAGAGTCGATCCGGATTCGCTTATGTTTGTCATTGAAAAATATTTTTCAAAATAAAATTTTAATAAGAAAATTTTATTTGACGATCTATTCAAACCCTCTCCTACACCGTTGCTCTCGTTTAACATAAACTAAATGATTTTTGCCAGAAATTGACCATACATATTGTCAAACTACAAGCTAATATGATTTCCTTTCCCAATCAACCAGGTTAAATGCTGATCCAACTCACGAATAAAATCCTTGATACCTATATTGATGGAGGAAGAAACATGATATTTAACCACAATACCTTTCTTTAAAACTCTAGCCCTCAGACTTTGGTCTAATCCTCATTAGGATATAATGTGCACTAATATTTACACAAGTTTGTGGTCTCATTCAACTTCATAAGGGATCTCAAACCCAAACCATCGCACTGAAGATCTTTACAACATTGTTTCCAAGCCACTATCACTAATTTTCTTTTATGTGTATGACCACTCGAAATAAAGTTCCTACATAATTTCTTTACATCTTGAATTAAACTCACAGGGCAAGAGTATACCATAATAGAATACAAAATTATTCCTTGTATTCAAAGATCTTACCAATTGAATTCTATCGACCATAAATTAGAGAGATGTTTTACATGCAGCAAACTTATTTTTAATTATATGGTTGAAGGTAGGTTTTCTTTGGTCTCCCTTTAAAGATTGGGACTATAAGATAAATAAAAGGAATATGCCCCCCTAGAAAATTATTATAAGATTTGAATTTAATAAAAAATTATTATAAAAATCGGGGAAAATAGGCTATACATCTTCAATGAAAAATGACAACTACTTATCGACATGTATTCCATCTAATTACAATTAAATTTTAAAATTATTTTAATAACATAACAAGTTAGTTTCTTATTATATCTATTCAACTCTAAAAATTAAGTTAAACCAAATCAATTATGTTTTATCTTCTAATATTCATTTTCTTGTAAAACATTTAAATAATTTTTAAAAAAAATTCTTTGGTATTCATAAATCTAAGTTGAATATCGACATCTTTGGTGTAAATCATATTAAAATTTTAATTTATTTTTAAAATAAAATAAAACAAAAAAGTGACATGACGGTATTTTTAATATAAATTATATTAAAATTATATTTTATTTTAAAATAAAATAAAACAAAAAGTGACATAACTTAAATCATAGTGTTTGATTGATTAAAGGTATTGATACTCAATTAAATTGAAGGGTATCGAAGTATATTCAATATTTTTTTTATAAAAGTAATATTATTAAAGAAGTTACTTTGCTATTCGATGGCTAGTTTAAAGAAAGGCATATATCAATTAAATTTAATTGCAATATGTGATTTTGAGTTTTGGCGCGGAAAAATGAGGGGCAATTGTGATTGAAGGACATTGTTCATCGTTAACTTAAATCTTTGCAATTTTCAATGGGGCATTCAGTTATTCCATGGAAATTCCTTGAGGGTTTGGGGGAAAGTTCAGGAATAAAGAATGCGATTAAGAAAGCCGTGAATCTTGAGAAACAGACGAAGTCGTTAGTTGAAGCAGTTAACAATGTCTGCAACATTTTGCTAAGCCAACTTCTGAAACTGTGCGTCAAAGGTGATATGTTGGCTATCGTCATTCCGGAAGAGGAGTATCATTTGGGTTTAGAAGCTTGTAAACATAATCTTCATGGGAGGATTTTTTGGCCAAAATGTGTGACTTCATTAATGGTTCAGAGTTTAAAATCCAAGCTTCTGTCTCTTTGGAATTCAATTGGGAAAATGGGGGATCACTTCTCTCGGTAAGGGGTATTTTGAATTTGTTTTTTCATTGATTGAGGATGTTAGACATGTGAGATCCATTACTACTTGGAACCTAAATCCCGGGCTGTTAAAACTTTTTCCTTGGTCCAAAGACTTCAACCTTTGTCTGCTCAAGCATTCTTCTGCGCAGGTTTGGGTTCGTATTCATGGGTTGCCTTAGGAGTATTGGAGGCCCAAAATTGTGTTCACTATTTCTAGTAGTATTGAAATATCGTTGTGTAATAATTCGGCTTCAAACAAGTGTTGTTTTGATCGGCCTTTTAGCCACAATGTGCGCGTTTTGGTGGACTTAGAGTTGTCTAATGAACTGAGATATAAGGTCTTGGTGGAATGAAAGGGCTACACTTTCTTCGTTGAACTTAAGTATGAAAACCTGCTGCAATTTTGCTCTAATTGCAATATGATTGGCCATTCTGTTAACAACTACAAAAGAATTAATGTTGAGGGTGTTAAGGGTTTAGCAGCTGGCAATACAAATATAAGAGGGGTTGATGTTGGCATAGAAGGTGAGAAAGGGAATCCATCTACTGTCACCAAGAAAGCCTTTGTGCAAGTAAACATGAGACCTAGTGAAGGAAGGTCAGCCAATCCAGTTGCTGATGTAAGTTATGACAACTTGGATGGAAACAGGGAAGTTGATTTTGCTGTTGAAGAAGGTAATTCGGTTTCAAGGAAGTCATCTTTGAACTCTGTAGATCAGGTGGAATTTAGAGATGTTGTGAAACATGTTCCTTCAGCGGAACCGGTTGAAGAGAATATTAATGTTACTCAGGTGAGTAATATGGCTAGTTTACGTAACGACGAATTAAATGAAGTTGGATCTGAAGAGGACTCCTCATTTGTTGCGAATACTCAACTTATCAACAAGTTTGTGGAGAAAAATACCACTATTTAGAGTAATTAGAATGTGGATTTCTTGAATTCTTCTTGGGCTAACATGGTTGATCAGGATGATGTTATGCAAGGAATTGGTGATGAAAGCACAATTCAAGGTACAATTAACTCTGACTTTTCCATTGCACGAGGGAATACGTAGGCATAGGGCGGCGATATCCTATCGAGTCTCCTTTTTCTTTTTCATCCCCGTTTAGCAGTAGCTTTTAGATAACTCACCCCTTTGGTTAGACAACAAGCATGGATCCCATTGAGTATAACAGACGTGAGGGGTGCTCATGCCTTCCCCTTGCGTAACCAACTCCCGAACCCAAGATTTGGTTGCAATGACCTTGTCTTTTCCCGTTCTTTTAGGTTTTTTTCGATCGTTTCCTTTCCCTATCTTTGGGATAAATAACGTTCGGTGGCGACTCTTCTGTTTGTTTCCGCCGGTCCTTTTCGCAGTTGCGACACCAAGTTGGTTTCCAATAACAGCATAAAGCTTATGCAAGCTTGCAAGGGTGTTTCAGTTCCTTCTCATGCGCTATATGTCGACGATATTATGTTGTTCGTCAAAGGTAGTATTAGTTCTCTCAAAGCTATTTCCAGACTTTTCAAACGCTATGTTGAGTGTTCAAATGCCTCCTTCTTATTCCTCCTTCTTATTCTTTGGTTTTTTGGAGATTAACTCTTGCAAAGCTTCCTACTGATGAAAAGATGTCCTTAAGAGGTTTTCAAATGCCTTCAGTTTGCAGCCTCTGTTTCAAAGATGAAGAAGACCTCAACCATTTCTTCTTCTCCTATGCGTATGCTGCTAACATTTGGAATTAGCTGCAAGGTATTCTTGATCACATATTTCCTATTGCTAGTTTGGATGTGTGTTTTTTGATCTTGAACTGTGTTGCCTCTACGTTGTGTAAGTTGGTTTCTATAACAATTGTAGTGAGTTCTGTCCATGACCTTTGACATGTGCGTAACCAAGCCAGATTTCGAAACATGTTAATCCCTTGGAAGTCTCTTTGCTCCTCCACCGGTTCGATGACTCTTTTGGCAGGAAACTCTTGCAAGTTGAATTCTAGCTCTTCCATAACAAAGTTTGTGATTTTGAAGAATTTCTCAATTAATTTGCATCCTCCTAACCCCCAAGTGTTTGAAATAAATTTTATGATGCTCTCCTCTCCCGGGTTGGGTTAAAGTAAATATAGATGAGGCTTCTGCCGGTAATCCTATTAGAGTTGCTTGTGGTGGAATGTTTAGGAATCACTTAGCCGATTATCTTGGTAGTTTTTCTTGTAATCTGCCTTCGAACAATGCTATTTTTATTGAGATCATGAGAGCTATTTTTCCTATGGAATATGTTGTTAGTTGTAACTGGTCAAATTTGTGGTTGGAAACAAATTCTATGTTACTTGTTAAAGCTTACATCAAACCATCTGTTGTGCCTTAGAAACTAAGGAATATATGGAATAACTGTACGCTTAAGTTTCGTGATTTCAATTTTTTGGCAATTCATATTTAAAAGGAGGAAAATCACTGTGTAGATAAGTTAGCTATCTTAACTTTTTTACCTTCTAATTTTACGTGGTGGTCTGATATACACATTAATGTTCAGCTTGATTTCAATAAAAACAAACTTGAAATCACTAATTTTAAACTTATATATGTTTGAGGTTTTGCCTCCATGCCCCCTATTTTTTACCTATTCTTCTTTTTATTTTAATTGCCTTTTTCCCCTCTTTTAGTTAAAAAAAATTGCAATATGTAAACTCTTTATTTTGTTTTATTTTATTTTTTTAAAGAAAAGAATGAGTTTAGAAAATCAAACTGCAGAATTAGGATAGTTTTGAAAACAAAATCCCACAGTTCTAGGCGCTTTCCGGTCGTAGAGTGAAGCCATAACTGTAACTAAGGAGGTCACTGGGAAACAACAAGGGACCGAGATCTAATCCTGTGCGGCAATGCCTCACCGTAACAGCTCTACGCCACTCCCCTTAGTCGTCACCCTAAACTGCGTCGAAGATTGTTCCCTCGAACTCGATTCCCTCTCCGGCGTCGCCGCCGTCGAGCATGTTCCTCTCAGCCGTCTCTCCGATGGCAAGATCGAATCCGCCGCTGCAGTCCTCCTTCATTCTCTCGCATATCTCCCTCGCGCAGCTCAGCGCAGGCTCCGCTCCTACCACCTCATCCTCTGCCTTGGCTCCGCCGACCGCTCCGTCGACTCATCCCTTGCCGCTGACCTCGGTCTCCGCCTCATCCATGTTGATACCTCCCGCGCCGAGGAGATCGCTGACACCGTGATGGCGTTGTTCCTTGGTCTTCTCCGCCGTACTCACCTGCTCTCTCGCCACGCGCTCTCTGCTTCCGGTTGGCTAGGCTCCGTCCAGCCTCTCTGCCGAGGGATGCGGCGGTGCCGTGGTCTTGTTCTTGGGATCGTTGGTAGATCTGCTTCTGCTAGGGCTTTGGCTACTCGCAGCTTGGCTTTCAAAATAAGCGTTCTCTATTTCGATGTTCACTCGGTACTTTCTTCATCAATCAGTTTATTTTTCTTTCTTTTTAGTTGAATAATTTTACTGTTTGAAATTGAAAATGTTAGTTGGTGTTTACCTGTTCTGATCTCCTGATTAACAAGTGATTAGTTATGGCATTCTTCTCCTGTTAATGATATTGATTATCTTTTTGTTGAAAACAATTAAACAGCTATTGGTTTATTCGCAGTTTGTAGTTCACAATTAACATGTTAATTTTGAGAAATGGTGAATTGTTGACGTGCATTCTCCTTTTTGAATAAATCAAAGTGAATAAGAATTAGATACTCTGTTTCTAGCATGAGCTAATAGCTTCCAGTAATTGTAAAATGTTATCTTTGTTTTCAGGTTTTTGTATCCTATCATTTCTTTTGTTCCAACATGAATGTATGTTCTATTCATGTCTAGTACTATTACTATACACATTTGTGACACTATCAATAAGTGTTGTTAGCGGTCATGACGGATATTGGTGGCGGGTTTTAGGTTCTCCGTCATGTTCAAATATATGAAGGGCGGTGACACCATGCACCATCAACCACCATCCGCCATCGATAATAAAGAAAAATCTTACCATTTAGTTGAACGTATTTTATGTAGAGAATAATATATGAATGTTTTAAAATTTTGAGAATATGATAACAACATAGATTGACAATATCTAAACCCTCCGAAATTCTCGTCTAATACAATTTTTGAGGTCTCAAAAATTAAGAGGATTTTGCATGAAGGAGAAAAATAGACTTCACAAAGCCCACACCTCCCAAAGCCCTCAATTCCTTTCATTTCATCATTCCTTTTTTCAACACCCACCCCAAATACAATTTTTGAGCTCTCCGAAATTAGGAAAATTTTGTATTATGAAGAAAAACAAACTTCACAAAGCCCTCAATTCCTTCTATTTCATCATTCCTTAGTTATGGCATTCTTCTCATGTTAATGATATTGATTATCTTTTTGTTGCTTTTTGTTGAAAACAATTGAACAGCTATTGGGTTTTTCGCAGTTTGGAGTTCACGATTAACATGTTAATTTTGAGAAATGGCGAATTGTTGATGTGTGTTCTCCTTTTTGGGTAAATCAAAGTGAATGAGAATGAGATACCCTGTTTCTAACATGAGCTAATTGCTTCCAGTAATTGTAAATGTTATCTTTTCGTTTTCATGTTTTTTGTGCTCTATGGTTTTTTTTGTTCCAACATGAATGCATGTTCTTCTATTCATGCGTAGTACTACTATACACGTTTGTGACACTATCGATCAGTGTTGTTAAAAAGTGGTCATGGCGGATATTGGTGGCGGCTTTTAGGTTCTCCGTCATGTTCAAATATGTAAAGGATGGTGACACCATGATGCCATATACCAATATGGAGGCGCCATATGTTGGGTGTTAGTGTGGCATTTTGGCTCTCCGCCATTGATCACCATCCACTATCGATAACACTACTATCAATAGACCATCCATCTGTAGCTTGATTTAGTGAAGAAGAAAATAAAGAAAAACCGTACCCCTTATTTGAGTGTATTTTTTTTTGTAAAGAATAATATATGAATGTTTTTGATGAATATATTTTAAATTTTGAGA